TCTGAGGGGTCTGACCAGCTGGTCGCCATTCTTTGAACAGGAAACCCTGGCAATCCCTGAAAATGCTTTCCTTTATAATTCCTCCATTAGTCATCAGCATTATCAAAGCATCCATGACGCATCAGTGGTTCATTTATATGCTGATATGCATCATTGACCCAGATGATCAGAGGGGAGAAGAATATGATAAGGAACTATTTTACAGTTTTCGCCGCTATATATCTGTAATTGTGGAAAACTACAATTAAAGTTTCATATGAGGTGAAATTAAATGTTAAATAAATGGAATCTGGCATTAAATGTCCCTCGTCTGCAAACGTGCATACCTGAACAGATGGATCTGAAGTGGTGTGAGAGACCAAACATTTTCCACGCCAGCCTTGTTTTCATAGATCACAACCTTTGCCTGGAAGTTGGGGGACGCAAAATTCAGGCCCCGATTCGTGCGTATAAAATATAAATGAGACCCCTGAAGATTTAAACCTGCTTCCGTCTGGATAAAATTCAGTCTTTGCATAGAGTTTGATTGACAGCTGACAAGTAAGCAATTAGTTTCTGCAAAAATGTCACTGCAGCCACAAAAAGCTACTCCACAGATCATAGTAGGCTATAAAAAAATTTCAACTAAATAATGTATTCTTCTCTGAAACACAGCAGGATCAGGATTTCTGAAAGAATAAAGATGAACACTGAGTTGATTTTATAGATGGAATATCTTGTTAGTCTAATTAAGTTGGTATTTCCATCAGATATCTCTCATGCAAACAGATAGACAGGTTAATAAAGTCATGCAGATCAGAAATTCATCATTGCATAGTGCTGCACAGTATTTACCAGTCTTTCTTTGCTTCACATGTCAACATGATCAGATTTTCTTATTTTTAGCTGCAGGTACTTTCAAATATATGATTTAACCTGCAATGTTTAAAGAGAGGAGGAGCTCCATGCGATTCAAATTCAAGTGTCCCTTAAAGAAATGAGCTGCATCATAATAAGAAAAAAAGTAAGCTCTAAAATTGAATTCTGATTTGATTTAAATGATTGCAAAATAAAAGGCAAAAATAAAATGTAGAATGTTGGTAGGTTGAGAGAAAATACCTGGCCAAGAAGTGTCCCTTTTTAATTTTTTTTACAGTTGGCAACTTTTTCTGTACAAGTCAAAAAATAGAAGGAAATAATTTAATCACATCTGGAAGTACAATTATATTCAATAAAACCTAGTTTAGATTTAAAGTGTTGAGGCTTTAATTTTGGTTGATGACTAAGATTTCCTGCTAATAGCTAATGAAAATGCATTTAAAATAATTATAAGTATTAAAAGATATTACATGAGACCAATAAAAAAAGTTTTTTTTAAGAAATGTTTGCAAGATTGAAGTTTTATCTGAAAAACAAGCCACTTGCATACACTAATTGGTTGAATACAACGCTATGTCCACACATTACTGGAATATGTTGGATTCTAATGTCAGTAAAATCACATCGGTGTTTCTGCAAAGACTTAGAGTGAGGATGAGGCACATAACATTGCAGCTAAAATAATCAACATTTCTTACAACTTTAACAGATGTTTCCTCCTTAAATAAGTTCAGTGAAGTGCACCAGTTCATCCTGTGGCACACTTTAAAAAAACATGATGCTGCCAACCTCATATTTCATAGCTTGCCAGTAGTTCCAAGTCATAAAAGCTCACTCCCTTCACTTCTAACTGTAGTCATGGTGATGATGGCTCAACATTTTAATTATAGTTTCATGGGATCATATGACATGTATTAAAAAATGAAGGTATTTGTATCTGGGTGTTTTTTACAAACTGAAATCTGGACGTTTATGCTGTTCTGTTGGCGTCCTTCTCGCTACGTTATATTTAAAAACATGTCAATAAAGGCTTGTTTTGGCTTAGAAAACATGCAAATTGAAACAGAAGAACGGGTCCACCCCTAACGACCCCCCTCTCAGTGGCATTGACCAGTATTGGGTATTGCAGGCTAACAAAGAACTGAAACGACTCACCGTTCCTAAGGGGCGGACCCGTTATTCCGTTTCAATTTGCATGGTTTCTAAGCCAAAACAAGGCTTTGTTTTGGTCCACTCTATAAAGCCTCAAACTCAACCTTTCTGACATTTTGAATTAAACAAGCTTCCTGGATGGGAAGCTAAACATCTTCAAACTTGGAAATTAAGTCCAGTGGATTGTTTTTCAACTGGAATATAAAGTAATGGAACCTATTAAAGTTAAATACTGTAAAATATTCGTTAAAAGTCTTTAAAGTGCCAATAACATTACCTTTTAATGTGTACTGTATGTGATGGATCAGGTGTGTCATTAATCCCATTTTACCTCTATTGGATTCCATGTCAGTCTTTCAAACTTCACTCAAGAGATTACCTAATAAATCTTTAAATCACTCAAAAGGGATTTTTTTTGGGCTATAATAAGGTCTAAAACATTTGCTTGTATGAATATGCAACCAAAATACTCCACAGCTTGAGTAAAATTTGATGTCATTTCAAAACTTTTGAACGATTATTTACTTAATGCAGCTTTGAACTATGGTTGAATATGCTATTGGGTGTAGCTTTATTGTATAGCAGGAGTTTTTATGCTAGTGAACATTGCTTCTTTTGAATCTCCAAACGAAGGTGAACTGGATGCAGATGATGCACAGAAGTGATCATTTATTCCACTTTATCCACTGGCAGCTGTAGTAAACTCAGATCCCTTAAATTATGATTTTACAGGCAAAAAGAAAAGAATCAACAGACAAAAGAAAACTCGACAATAAGATCAAAAGTAAACTAAGAACTCTTTTATTCTCTTTTTTTTTCTTGATTTGATATAACTATCTATAACTGTTTTTTTTTTTCCTACATTGTCCTTAAAAGTTTGTTATCATGCTAGGTGCAGCTTCAGTGTTGGTAGAACATGCAAGGTTGTGATTTGAGTCGGTGGAGGATTTCACGCACTGGACAACTGGACCCAGAAAGAGCAAAAGCCTCCAAATACGGGCTCACAGAGCAAAACCAAAATAACAGTACCCCACCAGGAAGGGGAGGGATGCAACGATGTCTTCAGAAAATTAGGAAGGGGTTAAACAGAAGTAGTTCAGTTCTTGCTCCAGAAGTTGAATCCATCCAAACTGTAAATGGAGACTTTTTTTTTTTTTTTTAAATCATGACATCATTATTTGACATCTTTAGTGCAGTCGAAAAAGAAAAAACCCAAAACAAACTAAACTCTATAAGCAGGCAATCTTAATGAGGCATACACCAAAAAAGAAAAATACTGAGACAGCTTTGTAAACATACCAAATCAGGATATTAACAGAATGATTGAGACAAACAGAGAGGAAGAGAACCTTTTTTTTACTTGCATATTATGGAGTAGGCCTACTGGTTTATTCTTGTTGAGTTAAATTGCAAAGGGTCACTAAATGTAACTGTCCTCCATTTTCACTCTGAATCTAATTTTAAAGCTGTGTTCAAATTGTTTACTTATTCACTATTAGTCCACTGTATAGATGCACATAGTTTTAAGAGTTGTACACAATTTCTACTGTTTACTTAGGTGCACCATTTAGTGCACTGCTAGCTTCGGTCAAAAACAGACTGCAAAGACAACGACCTGAGTGACAAAGCAAATAAGAGCTGACATTAACATTTAAATCTTACCACCTAATTAATATGTATAAAAAAAAACACTACCAGTGTTAATAACACAGAGGTGGTACGTAGACGATCTAATTAGACCCATTTTAATCTTGTGCTAACAAAGCACATACTAATGCAAACATTTGGTTGTCATCATTACAGCTGATTTTCATCCAATGCTTCGTGCATTGAGAGTTTCTCAGATGCTAAAATAAAAGTAACGTACAGAGGTGGTGCGTTTTTTTTTTTTAACCAGACCCCTTAATCCTTCAACCTTAACTGACAAAAAGTGCTACATTAAAATTCAGCAAGCTAAATTCCACCACACAAAAAATCTGTCTTTTGGCATCATAAAAGGATTTTACTGACAGGATTGTTCCTTAAACAACCTAATGCCCTGTAGCTCCCAAACCATTCATGCTAATTAACTGTGTGTATAAGTATACTAAGGCTAATACAATTTATTATTTACAATTAATACGTATTAATGCCCATACCAAATGTGCCTAGCCGTTATCAGCCAAGGGGGAAGGTAAAAATATGTAATTTGATAAAAGTTGCATTAGCAAGTAACCATTCAATGGTCATAAAAAACAAAAACTTGAAATTGGTCAGTGTTTCTCAAGGATTGACCAGATGTAAGGTGAGTAGCTGATCTTTGTCAAACCTCTTTAACATTTAACTTAATTTCTGAAATGTACAGTTGACTCATGCGCTTTAAATTCATAAAGTATCCTGGATATCTGTCACCAAAGCACTATTCCCAACTTTTCTCCAGGAAAGCAGCTTATAGCTTTCCTAAAAGTCTCAAGAAATTGTAAAAATGATGTTGTTGCCTGTTTGCATAGAGAAATGAAATACTTTTTATAATTTTAATGACTTAAGTGCTTTGCCTGAACCCACACTACAAAAATCCAGGGCGGGATCCGCTTAAATAAGCATGATTTATACTAAATGAATCGCTCAGACTTCAGATGTGGTTTGTTGTCCGAAGTTAATGTCAGTGACCAGATATCAGTGCTTGGAAAGTGATAATGCCTTGCAGCAATGCTTGCTTCTCACTGAGGGTAGTAATTAAATTAAATTAATTTTTTTTTTATTTGTCCGAGTGATTGTTTTTTCTTTTTTTTTTTTAAAGAAGCTTCCTACAGGATACTAAAAATGTAAAACTAATAAAAAAATTCACTATGTTGGCAACAATTAGAAGTAAATCAAATGACTAACCTATATATGTAGGGCTTCAATCTACCAATATCTCCTTGATACAGGATTATTTGCTTGCAAGTTTGCACCTGACTTTAAAACATACTAAAAAATAGAGAGAAAAACTGCTCCTGAAATCACTTTTATGTTTGATGAATCCCTTTGAAGGTGACAAGTATTTTAATTGCATATACTCCACCTACATGTTTATGTAGTTTGTTTTTTAGAATTTAATCTGTATAATCTTGAAGGCACACATGGGAAAAAAGAAAACATTTCATCCACTTACATTGTACATGCCAATCATTCTGCAACTTGTGTGCAAACAAATTTGCAAGTTTAAACTCATGCAAACCTTTTGAAGATGGGGCTCTGCATCTTAAAATAAAAAGACTTTTTTGGCGGGTGAGTTACACTTTAAGGTCCGTGTTTGTACAGTGGTTTAGTTCTGTAACAAAAACACCTTAAGATTTTCTAATTTTTCTAATATCCAACATGCTGACAAATACTTAGCACACTTGTAATTGAATTTAAAAAAAGCATTTGAACTTAATGTTAATGTTAGCATGCTCCTATAAGCATTCACAGCCACTTTATACGCAACACATACATTACTGCACAGTAGAAATTGTGTATATCAGAAAAATATATTGCATTTTGATCAATCAAGCATAATAAAACTAAAGTTGGCATGCTAATGTTTTACTAATACTGTTGTCCACAGCTAATGTTTGTGACTTCTTTCACTGAATATAAAATTTTGGCAAAATAATACTTTAATTCATCATCATAATTAATCAAAGATTATTTTTTTTAATCATTTTGTCAAAATGCCCTCCAAATTTAAAGGGGTTATATTAAGATAATTCCTGCTGGTGTTTTTTTTAATGCAATATTTAACAGAGAATAAAACATACTTTGCATTCAGAGCCTGCAGTGCAAAATAAGTTGGCTACACCTTTCCACTGTTTAGTTTTATATATGTATGAAGTTAATACAATAAAGAGAGTGAGTGAGTTAACATTTTGAACACAGCGAGTTTTTTTTTTCTAATAATGGCTAAAAAGATTATATCAAACAAGCAGACTTGAACAACTGTAAATTACATTAAAAGTGCCAGCTGGTGGAGTAGAAATGTAACAGTGCTGCTTTTTCTCTCTGCTGCATCTGTCTTGCTACAATGGGGATGAATCACGTCGACTCTGGAAGAGTTGGTGCCGCGCCGTTTGCCGGCTGTAGCCAGCAAGTCACAAACTCATATATAGGAACAGTAACATCTTCACATTCCCACCGACAAAGGGGAGATTTTGAAAGGTTTCCACAGAGGAAAAACTTGTCACATTTTCTGTTCCTTTTATATAACAAGTATATTGCAACAGTTATGATTGCAGGTCACAAAATGCACGGTGGCTGCAGACAGCTACATTTGCACTAAAGAAGCCTGACTTTTCTGCCCAGTATGGTCATAGACTTTTTTTTCTTACTTTTTTTTTTTTTTGCACAAAACACAAATACATTGTGCAGAGTTAGAAAAAAAAAAGTTGCCAGTAAAGGGCTGATGGTAAAATTATGCCAAGCTATTAGAAAACGGGTGTTAAGAAAACACTGGGGAGGAACAGGTGAAAATCTACATCTTTGGTGAAAATTTAACTGAGTATGCTGAAAGACACCTGAGCACACACAAATTTCACACGCAAACATTTTTTTCCCCTACAGCTGGAAACAGGAATTAATTGAAGTTTCTTAGAAATGCATCTTCACTGACTGGTTTAAGATATGGGAGAGTACTTACTGACGGTGAACAGTTTGTACACAGAGGGGTGTTAATACAGGAGGCTGAACATCAAACTGTGAAACTGTACATTTGGTTGGAAACTATTGGCATCGGGTTTCAGCATACGGCTTCCGAGTCTGTTCATGCGCGGTCTTCGAAGGTGCTTCCAAGGTCAACAGTGTGGAGATTGGGACATGTTTGCATCACAGCCACCACAGATGGGCTTAATGTGGCATACTTTGAATCTAGCATCATATACTGTACCATACGTGTGCTACAGGACATCTACTGTTATCTGATCTGACAGCTGCATGGTGTAAAAACAGGGTCTGACAAGTTTCCTTCTGCTGCCTTTGTTCTCTTAGAAGTTTCATTTCCAATCATTATTTTTGGATAAGGGAACACAGAAAGTAAAGAAAAGAAAAAAAACCCTCCTCTCTTAGCCCCGCCCCCCCAAAAAATCATTCAATCAATCACAAAAAAGTTAGAAAACAGAGAAAGATTCAAAGCTGCCTGTGGAGAAAGTTGCTGGCATTCATTCAAAATCATAGACGCATAGAGTTTCCCTTTGCTAGTTTTCAGCTCGGCAAGCCTCTCAGTTCAGTTTCCATGCAAAGCCATGGATTCAAGAAGAAGAAAAGGAAAAATAAGTAAAAAAAAATATATATAGGATGAGCAGCATCTCCTAAAGCTTCATCTCGGGACCCAGCCAATGGGGAGGAATCCAACATGACCCACCCAGATGTTCAAGTATGAAGTGACAGTGATGGGGAATGTGTTAAGAGGACAAAATGAATGAACAAACAAATGAATATAAAAACAAAACTGCTAAAAAGGACCATGAGTGTGTCACTCCTGTTGGGATCCTTATTTTATCGAGTCAATCAAACGGGGCGACATTGTTTCATTTTCACCTTTAATAAAAGGAGTTAAAAAGGCATCTGAATAAAACCAGTTATATGTTAAACCTACAATATTTTCACCTTTTCTGAACTAGATTTACATCTTGAGGATTTATGCATTATTAAATTAAAGGTCAGCATGTATATTTCTTTAGGTCCATAAACATTGGTTTTAGTCAACAAAAAAAAAATAAAAATCTAGCCATCCTTCTAGGCTACATCTCACCCTAAAATGGCTACACTCATCTTGCCAATTTTTCCACGTCTACAGCATAAGGTAAATGATTTTGTACTGAAAACAACTAGATGATGAAAAAAAAAAGAACAATGGTTCCAGTTAAAAAAACAGAAAACAAGTAAAAGCAAATAATAGGTTTATTACAAATGAGAAACAACATGAGGTCCTCTGAGGAATGATGAGCTATGGAGAGTTTGTGAAATCACGCAGGTGAAAAGTGCACATGCGTAGTAGCTGGCACATGGGGATGGAAATTAAATGCCTGGTTGATACCGAGGGACTCTCTAAGCTTTCTGGCCTGGGTCAAGGAAGGAGGGAGGAGCTGGTGCATTGGGAACTCCCTGCCCCCCCCATATGGTCCCTGGACTCAATCAGGAGCTAAGGGTGAACTGGTCTTGCTCGATGGGCTTTTTGACCCAGGCTCCCAGGCCGGCCTTATGGAAGGCCTTGATGAGAGCCTTCTTAGCAGAGTGGTACTCCATGGCCGCCTGCTTGGCCTCATGGTACGAGCTGGGCTTGAGTACCTTGATCCGTAGGACGGATGACAACTGGGAGAGAGGAGGAGGTGGAAACAGACATGAGGACAGGTAAATAATACAAAGTCTCACAAGGAAATCAAAGTCTGTTTCAGGATAAATGTGTAGAGAAAGTCTTTATTATAGCCATAAATATTTAAAGGTATAGTGGAGGATTTTCCCTAATTTTTGAAAAGATCTGCCTTCTCCACTTAAAAAAAAAAAAAGCACATGCACAACCCTGTACCCGCTGCCGAGAGGGAACGCCGTGTGAGAGCGTGCACAAACCCATTTCTCCTTGTGCACGCTGTTTAAAAGTTACTGCTTGTATCGCTCATACAAGCTTACTTTGAAATTTTCCCACTATGTCAGACTCGCCTCCGGTAATTGATAATGTATTTACGTAAGCTGACACCTGAAAGTACGCATGTGCAGAAAAAGATAGCTTCCTAGGGACGAGCACATAGGACGGCCGAACGTAAACATATCACCAGAATGATTAATTATTTTGATGATCCACCTGGAAAAAGAAAATCCTCCACTATAACTTTAAGTAAACTGTTTTCATATCATAACAACTAAAATTGTTTAGGTGGAGAATTGTGTGATAAAATAACCAGCGTCAGACCCGAAAAAAGTCCCGTGACAACATATTAAAAACTGCTAAACCTTTAAAATTTGAACAAATTAGACTGACAATCAACCAACACCATCATTGCCCAATTATGAAGGAAAGAAAAAAAAATCAGAGCATAGTTTTCAAAATAATTAAAATACGAATGCTGGGTTCAAAATCAGTGGTATGGCCATAAATATATAAAAAAAAAAAATTCTGTCCAATTGCATTTTTCTAAACAGAGCCACATTAGATGTGGTGGAGAGTTTCTGTTAACATCAAGTCTTTCTGCAAAATCACATCTTAGTTAAGGTCTCAACTTTAAATTGGCCTTTCTAAGACATATTCTCATCTTAACCATCCATCTTCAGCTCTGGTTGTTTTAACTAAGGCCAGACTAGAAACTAACTCTGCCTTTAACTTTTACACCATTCTGCTGTGTTCATTGGTCTCCAAAATACTCATTTTTTGTTCCCTAATGTTTTCTAAGAAAATAAATATAAACCTTCAGAGACTGAATTTATCTATATTGAAAAAAAATTCACAAAAAAAGGAGCGTGAAAGTTTGGGGAAGGCACTTTAACATGAGATGTGATGTGTGCCTCGCTGTACTGTACCTTGGAGTGGAGGCGCACCCAGCGGCTGTAAAGGGCGTGTTTGCAGAGTCTTGAAGGGCGGCCCATGTCGTCCTTCCCCGTGGTTGCATTGATCACCTCCAGCGCCTGATCGCCGACTGTCCAGTTCACACTAAAGTTTGGTGCCTTGCCCGGCTGCCTGGCCTCAGCATTGCTTATCCCTTGGAATTCCAAACAAAAGGTTGAAATGTTAACAAAAACATCGTACGCCTGCAAAAATATCAACTAATATTTCCTGCAATGAAAAAGGCACAGAAGAAACCTATTGGAGACAGCTCTGATATTATTAAACCCTTTTTTCTTTTTTATATGATCCTATCTAACATGGTGGAGAGAAACGATGCCTCCCTTCGATGGGGACTCCGAGGACGGAGCTTGAACTCTTCCAAAGGGCTTTGGCCTCCACTTTATCACAAACATAAATGGGAGATATATGGATGCCATAAATCCCTGTGTCCTGTTCGCTTTGGTGTGTGTATGTATGTGTGAAAGTGTATTAAGCTCCTTGGTTCCAATTGGCAGCACTTTTGGCAGAAAATGATTTACAGCGGATGAAATCCTCACTGCTCTAAGGCCACAGCCCTTCACCGCTAAAAAGTCTCTAAAGCGGAAAAGGTTAATAACCCCAGACTATTATCTCCTCTAGAGAGGAACCACAGTGGAGGAGCAGAGGAGCAGTAGGGAGCACTAACTAAAACTCAGATGCCCCCTTCCACCAACCCCGAGGAAAAAAACAAAAAGGATCAAGACTTATGCTTCATCTAAGTTGTTATGAAATCACAATGGTCAAGCTTAAAGAGAAGTTTGGACATTTCTTTACCTTAAAATTGTTCAGGATTTGTTTTGGAAGCTTTTTCATGGGTATGAATCAAAAAACAAAAAAAAAAAAACAAAAAAAAACAGCTTATGGTTCGTTCCCTTCAGTTTACTAGAACCAAATCATTGGTGCAGAGTGGATTGGAAACTGATCTTAGTGCTGTCATGTCCATTTAGTTCCATAAGAAAATAACCATCTAGCTAGCCTGTCAGCTAATCAAGCAAATAAGCACCCCCCCCAAAAAGAAAAAAACAAACAAAAAAACCCCCCAGCAATGTACGCTAGAGACATACTGTATATGGATACCATAAATCCCTGTGTCCTGTTCACTTTTGTATGTGTATGTAAGTGTGAAAGCGTATTGTGCTCTAGTTCTAGTTGAACCAGACATAAATAATTTAAAGATGAGAAAGATTTTTAACAATGCGTATGAACAGTGTTGGAGAGTAACGGATTACATGTAACGACGTTACGTAATTTAATTACAAAAAAAGAGTAACTGTAATTCGTTACAGTTACAATGAGAAAATATGTAATTCAGTTACAGTTACTTCCGAAAATATTAAGAATGACAAATTTAGTATTTATATTTAGTTTTCTTTATATTTTTTAAAAAAATATAAAGAAAAACCTTTGCGAAATATGTAATGATATTTTTATTGCTTCACGTCCTGTATCGCCATTTCCTGCTACGGCTCCTTGTCTCTATCATATTTGCCACTCTGATGATCCATCCTGTGCTGGTGGAGCCTCCTTGAGGAACAGCAAGCGAGCGGACGGTTCTATTTCAGCTCAAGCAGCGCATCAAAAATGACGGCCTTCCAGCACTGGAAATTTAAGGAGCATTTCATTTACATCTGAAAAAATGGCTCAAATTTAACCGTGCAGTGCAAGAAGTGTTTGCCGGCTATCAAGAACTTGTCCATGTCGAAGCAATCTATGTCAAACCTGAGGAAACATTTAGAGGTAAGTGCAACTCACTGATAGACGAAGCATCTCTTCTTGGGGACATCCTGTGATTGCCTGTCAGCAATTCCCTCTCAGCTTAGTGCTTTTTGAAGGTTCACATTCAGTTCTCAAAAATTAAATTTTGAACATGGGTCAATACTCATTAAAACCTTAAAGTAATCAAAAGTAATTAGTTACATTACTTTTTAAAAGTAATCGAAAAAGTTAAACTACAATTACATTTTAAACAAGGTAACTTGTAACTGTAACGGATTACATTTTTAAAGTAACTTACCCAACACTGCGTATGAATAATGCTTCTACTATACCATAGCTATCAGTGCACATGTTGGGTACATCAAGTTCTATTATGTCAGATTGAATATTGTGTGAATTGGGATCAAGGATGTGAAGACACAAACTACAGTTTTGAGTGCGTTTCATTTTCTGCAATCAGAACCTTGTTTTCCCCTTTTATTTAGACCAAATTAACATTGGGTAAAATAATTTCATCGGACTGCAAACACTACTAAGTGAACAGGAAATTATAACCCAGTTTAATAGGAAAGTAGGCCAGACTTATAATTTGCATCTGGTATCCTGCATTAAAGGACTGTTCATCATTAAGCCAAGATGATTTGCATAGAGTGGCATGTTATAAATTAATACAATTACTGGGTCTTTACTGTGATATTGAAGTACCAGTGTGATGTATATGTGGTACATTATTGTATATTAGAGCTGCACCCCTCATTCAATCTAAAAAACAAAACAAACGTTTTGTTGCAACCTGGTTTAAATACTAATCAAATTTTATGTGCCACAATATTCTGTTCATAGGAAACTGGTCCCAACGTATCATAAACACAAAAACAGATGTAAAGTAGTATAATAGACACATTAATTTGTGCGAATGCTCAAATAGGAGGGGCTCTAAGACGTTCATGTCGAGGCCCCCAAAAAAGTATTAGGTTTTGGCCAGGAACCTAGTCTGCAACTAACAATGCCATAAAATATATTAAGAAAAAGCACTTTTCTTAATGCTTTTTTTGTTATTATAACTATTTTAATAGTATTTTATTTGTTTAAAATAAGAACAGGAATTATTATGTTTTAAACATTGCATTATATTAACACTTATTAACAAACCTTTCAACAACCTGTTGGCAATAAAACCTAGCAAAATAAATCAAACCTTATTCAAGTGTTTGCAGTGGGAGGGCTGAACTTAATATCTGTAGAAAATGAAATGGGACGTGAGAGAGCTCAGAGTGGTTCGACATGGAGGAGTCTGCTACAGGCCATCCCCTGTCATGCTGCCTCTACATATTAGCTCTCAGGTTGTCATTCTTAGCTGCTGTTTTGGACTGAGTTCCATTGCTTTTTATGTTTTTTGCTACAAACAACCTAGAGACCCATCTGATGATGGCGCCAAGTATCAGATTTCAGTTCTTTGTCCACATTAACCTGAAGATAACTGCTGGTTGTCTTGGTGTTAGTGGTGTCAGTAAACTACTACTGTGCGAAGATCCTCTGCTCTGAAATGCGTTAACGCGTACTGACCAATGTTAACACGTTTCAGATCAGAAGATTTTCACACATTAATAGTTTATACCTGCAGACTTGGATAAAACAATGAAGTGGTTATTTGGCCATTACAACCTGCTCTTTATCCTGTCACCTTACCTTTCAGCCTCTGCTTTTTCCTTTCTGCTGTTCTCTACATGAAACAGATCAGTCATGTCATATGAAACAATTTGGTTTTTTCACCTCCAAAATAAAACTTTCTTGGGCAATGAAGTCCTATAAAATGAGGTTCTCTGGTGGCTATGTGCTGGAGCTGCAAGTAATATTGTTTTGATGTTTTCAAGTAAAATGCATTCTACAGTGAACCGCAGCTGTGCACATGCAGTATTTAACTTTGAAACTGCACTGGATTCACTTTGGTTTTTAGTAACTTACTTCCTGCCTGAACGATCGGCTCTACTCTAAACTTATGAGGATTTGAAGCGTCAAGAGTGTAAAACAGACCAGCCATGTTTTTTAGGGAAGCGTTGTTATACGTCGTCACCCCGGTTGGAAGCACTCTCATTGACTAGATTGGCTGCATCACACTGCAAAAGGGGTGTTTGGACGCTATGCGGCATTAACCGTGGAAACCCGGGGTTAGTGTTCGTACCGGTGGTTTTTACTTAATACTTTTTAACCCTAAAATAATTTTTGCACTGGCCATCATCCGCAAACACAGACATTGTTGAGAGTTTTTTGCCAGTTTAAATATCCATCAACATTATTCAGTCATATCATTTACAAACGTGTATGATGTCCTGATCTAAGATGTGATGATGTGGCATTGGTGACTCAGAGACGTCCACATTGCTACTTTATTATTCTGGGAAGACTTTGTAAAGAAGTGAGCCCGTTGGTAAGCGCTGACATTTATAACCTGAGCCGTTTTCCTGCTCTGAATGAGCAGTTAAATCTGTTGTAATTTCTCATGTTCATTTAACACATTATGAAATGTTATTCAAAGTTTTTTCTTAGAGATCTCTGAAAGAATAATTAAGTTTTTGATAACCTGCTGAGAAAATGATCATTTATTCAGAGGTTTTACCATTATTCAAGATAATACAAAAAGGTAAAATCAATAAACACCATCTATTCAGATGAAGATAAGGGTGCATTATTACCTAGACAGATGTCTAGGATTTTGTTTTAATGATTTACACATAGCTAAAGAAAAGCAATATCCTTTTGGAAAAATATAAGCTTAGGAGCAAAATATTTGCAAAATATCATTTGTGTCATTGTTTCATCTGTCAGGTTGGTAAATGCTTAAGGGTTTGACTATAAACAAAACCTTGAAAATAGGCTGACTTTCATGGGGAATGAAAGAGTGTTACACCCGAGTGGGATTAGATGACAGAAACCACATCTTTTATTTATGTAATAAAGATCCTGCATATTGTGAAAGTGCTATTTTACAATAATTATGTAGATATTGAGAATGTATGTATTAGCTGTACTGAGATTAGGCAAAATAAGAGTTTATCACATTTAACCAACTGGTTTTAGAGGGACAATCTTCTTTGATTTTCTAATAATGAATCGTCAAACTTAAAAATAAAGAAACAATGGAATGTAGTAGCACAAAAGCTGAATGTTCTAAATAAAAAAAAAACAAAAGGCAAGGTAAAACAAAACAGCCTTTTTAAAAGGTCAAGCCACTGCTGAAAATTTATACAAAATGTTAAAGCTATTCAAATTCCACAGCAGAAAGGTAAATGTCAGCTTCGATCAAACAAAGAAGGAAAGATCCTCCTGTCCTCCACTAGTGACCCGTGAGGTGAAGAAATGTGTTTACTATCCTGAATTAAAAATCTTTCTGCTTGATATTTGGAGAGCTGTGAGATTTTCTTTTTTATTTAAAAACGTGACATTGCACTGTCTGGATTGTTATGTTAGAAAATTGTGAATGTGACAAAGCTAAGGCATGGGATTTAAGGGAAACAATTCAGATTACCAACCGGTTCCTCCTTATTCTATCACCCTTTTCTAATCAGGAAGGTCTCTTACCACTGAGAAGAGGCCTGTTGAGGGTGAACTGCTGGGGCAGGTCCTCGATATCTGCAATGCGCTGGTACATGGCCCTGGAGAGGTGGTCAGCATGGTAAAGGCTGCCCAGGATGATGCTGGAGAAATAGATGGGCTCAGTGAAGTAGCTCATTAAAGAGCCTTGAATGCCCACCACATTCCACCTGTGGAAGGAGATCACATGGACTCTGGGATTATGTTGGAAACACAATAACCACACAGCGACCAAACTGTTTGATTCATCAGTCAATGTATAGAATACACAGTTAGAATAAAATAATTAATTTGCACTTCTCCCTTACACATACACTATATTGCCAAAAGTATTTGCTCACCTGCCTTGACTCACATATGAGCTTAAATGACATCCCGTTCCTAATCCATAGGGTTCAATATGACGTCGGTCCACCCTTTGCAGCTAGAACAGCTTCAACTCTTCTGGGAAGGCTGTCCACAAGGTTTANCTGATTCCAATAATTTGGATGGGTGAGCAAATACTTTTGGCAATATAGTGTATCTGGATAGTGATAAATAGCAGCTTTTAATGTTTAATAAATGCCTGCAACTGGAAGAACAGTGATCAGATACTCACAACTTTACAACAAAAACACATGCAAGCTATTGCAGAAAACACTTTGATTATAAGGTTCTGGGTCTTAGTTTTTTTTCTTCTTTGTAATTTTGCAATTTCATCTTTGTGTGATATCAGACAGCAATTAGAGAACTGAGATGAAAGATTAAGTTCAGGTTTAATGTAGAAAAACAAAACCCACAAAGGTCATCACAAAGGCTGTTTTCACCTTTAATATTTGATATGAGTGGAAAAATAAGTGGTTAAGCTGGTTATTCATGAAGCCTATTTTCTAGCTTTTAGAAGGAAAAATGGTAAAAACGGTGTGAGAATAATTGCTTTTTCTTACATTACTACTTTCATGGTTACATATTTACTGCTCTTTAAACCCTGGATTGAACAGCTTAATAGATATCTCAGTAAATCAGACTATACACCCCAACCGGCTTTTCCCGGTATTTCTAATCGGTAACCTGTAGCTGGGAAATATGATATCCCTTAAATCTTGATCCAATCAATAGATTATTTTTTTTTGTGCTGTAAATATCATGACCAAGCAACAAATTATTAATAAATGAAAAACTATATGAGATATCCAAAGCTTCATTAATTAATTGAAGTATCAAATTTTTATATTTTTCTAAAATCAAAGTAGTGGAGTAGTCTGTCCATTCGGAAGTTAATTATAAACTAAAAAGACATCAATTGCTTTGAATTTACAATGGATAAAGAAACAAACCGCTTTAAGATGGCTGGATGAAAGTATTTTTTTTTCTGGACTATAAGTCCAGAAAAGCTGGACTACCGCTACTTTTTTCCCTAAGTTTTGAACCATGCAGCTTATAAGAAGGTGGAGCTTTTCTGTGGATTTTTCGTAACTTCCAGAGGGGGAAGTCAAACTTCAAAATGAAAAAATAAGGGCCTAGCATTCATTCAGAAGAACATGCTAGCAGTAAGGACGATGGAGAACAAATGTCCCAAATTCAAACATTTAACTATTTATTTGCCTCATTAAAGCTGCTGAACCAATGAAAAAACTGTGCTTAACTTCTTCAGAGCAGAAGCAAAAAGCTGAAAAAGCTCCATCTTTCAGTAGAAGCTCTTGTCACAACCCGATCCGTCCCGGAAGCACGATCCGTTCTGCAAATGCCCAAATAGACATACTTCTGGGTGTCCATAAATAATTTAAATATGGTACTAAAACTACTTATTTCTATCCTTAACTGACTAAAGAATACTAATACACATCAAAAAAAATGTCTGACTTTTGTGAGACAATTTCAATGCTTTTTACATTTTCTTTGTTAAACTGCTTCTCTGACATCATCATGGGACATGCTCAGAGCAGTCCAGCAATATATGATTAAACCATGTTTATCTGGATTTTAGTTATTTCTTTCTTTAGATTACTCTATATAGCATACGGTTAAAACTAAACAAAAAAAACATAAAAAAAACTCAAAAAGACTACATTTATGTTTAAATCCAAAGCCGAAAAAGTTAGCTCCCGGAAGTAGCGTAGGGCACAGACGAGTGATAAAAGACAGGATTTTAAGGCATTTATTTTCTCAGGAAATACATTAACACATTATATTTTAGTACGTTCACTATTTTTGGGGACGGAAAACGTCATTTAGGTATTTTTAACAAAATGAAATCAAGGACGACCCGGATGTATGTGTGCACGCGCAGAACGGATCGTGCTTCCAGGACAGATCGGGTAGTGACAGCTCTAACTGTTGCAAGCCAACAAGCTAATGGAAGCTAGCATTCTTCTTCATCCCTAATCCAGAGGCTACATGTAGAGCTCCCCCTACAGGTTTGGTGGGAGACAGTTCAATAGATATCAGTATGTACCATGATGGTGTTACTACCTTGGTTTATCTTTTGCCTACATTTTTCACAGGATATTTAACAAGGCGTTTCCCCCATTATCATACATGTTCGTAACATGGATGCTTAAATAGGATGGAATTACTTTTTTATTGTGCCACAGTGTGGAAATGTAGGCGTGCCAATGGGTTGCATGTTACACTGGGACATTTAAGACCAATCGGTATTGAAAAAGGCTTGTAATCGGATTAGGATCTGGGATTGTGGCGGCTAATGCAGCACAGTAAACTCACATGTTTAAGAAGCAGTTTAAAATTATTTGAGTTTGTTTTGTACCATAACTGACTAAAACTAAAGAAAACGGGAAAGAGATTTTTAACATCGGAATAGGGAAAGAACACTGTACTTGATGCATCAACGAACTGAAGTTATTTTATGCACAGACAGATGAAGCTTTGTAACCTGGTGCCATTTCTAAGACAATATTTAGAAACATCAAATTAAATAGAAAATTAGAAAATAAGATGCTGTTTGCTGTTGTTTAGAGAAGCAAATGGAAACTGCAGTGAAAGCTTTTCTATTTTAGAAGTATATACCAGAAAAAAACACTCTTACCAGCTTTAGCATAAGAGTACTGATCCTTAAATCATCACTATATTTAGTAATAAGTGGAACATTTCTGATTTTTTATAGTGTTCAACAGAATAATTCAACTAAAGAAATTCTACTCGTCTTAATTTGAGCCTGGGAAGAAAACAAAAACAAAGGATGCAATGCTGCACAACAGACTCTTTTGTTCCAAACATAATATTCTTGGTGTATATGTGTTTGAGCAGGTGAGTGGAAAAAATAGAGAAGAAAAAAAGAAATCTCAGGCTTTTATAGCTGCAGGCTGTAAAAAATTCAGCACAGTCAAACAGGTTCATATTATTCTCAGCAATATACACACATTGTTTTATCGCAACAGTACGGAGACACAAATTCAGCCGAAAACCTTCTGAAGGACACGCAGCGAACAAAACGAAGCAGAAACAGGCAGGAAAACTCATTGGAGTTATGTTTTCAGAGGCATTCAATTTTGTTCCTGTCAAACCTCCCTGTATTCCTGTTTTGTGTTGGGTTTTTTTCAGCAGCAGAATAGGACGCTTTGTGGCTTCATGTGGAGAGACCAAACAGGCAAAAGACGGTCATAGTAAGAGTTAGTAAAAACATAAAGCAGCATAAAAAGATTCAGTATGTAGAAACTTAAAGAGCCTGTTTAAATGAGCTGGCTCAATGTTAATGCATTAAAATGGTGGCAATCTCTTATGTTGGTAACTAAACATGTAAAATGATGGTCATATAATCACTAACTAATTACTGGCCCTTATTTACCTCAAATTTGACCAAAGCCCCCATTTGATTAGTTAACAGCAGTCATTGGATCTAACATAGAACGGCATTATTTGAATCGTAATGAACTGTGCTCCATTCAGGTTCCTCAGGAAAAAAAACGGTTCACAATGTTCCCAGGAGATTTCAACACCGCTCACAAGTACAATCATTTAGACATATTTCTGCCTAACAAAGTCAGACTGGGAAAGCCTCATTAGAAGGCAGAATCAAAAGAAAGACATGATGAAATGTGGTTCAAGTTGATGTGGGGTGGGGGGAGTCAAAGCAGCTGAAATATTTACCTATAACACGTTATATTTGCTTTGCTTAAGACCAACACTGTATTACCTTTTTTTATTATTATTATCCACAGGCCTGCATGATCCTCATTTATTCGGTTTCGGTAAACAGCTGACCTACACTGACTACATTTATTTTGTTAGTAGAGTTTTTTTCAAGAGAGTTGATGGATTAGATGACTGAAATAACTTGTACTTACTATAAAACAGACCTAAATGACTTAATATGAATGATAAACTCAAAGAAGGGTGTAATGAGTGGAAAAAATACATGGAATTAAGTTTTTTAGTTTTTTAGATAAAAATTTAAAAGGATCAGCTTTTTTCTGGAAGGAAACACATTACCTATCAAATAATTGAAATCATTTTTTGTTGAAACAATTTAAAGAAGCATTACAGAGTTATCTAATGATACTGCCACCTGTGGCCAAAACACAGAACTGCATCACTCTTGTGCTCATTCTCGTACAGTAGCTTGCGCTCATACTTAGTTTTTTTATTTTACTCTTTTCACCTTACATGGAGTTTTCATTCAGGTGTCAACAAACGATGTTTTAATCATAAAGGGTCAAATAAAAACGATTTTTAAAAGATAGTTTTCTGAAAAACTCACATTTGTCTTTAATCATATTACTTTTAATGATGCATTTCACCATCAGTTACATTTAGACTTAATTATAGGCAAATTCAAATGATAATGAAAAAAATTTACCTTCAGTTTTCAATATTTGTGTTAGATATATGACAATTAATACATTATATTTTTACTGCATTGTGGGAGTTTTGAAACCCAGATTGTTTCTTTTATGCTGTTCAGAAACAGAAAAAATTATCCCAAATCTTGTTTGAGTCCAGTGAGACTAAGCTGTGAACATATTTACACTGTGTCGCAGCGGATTCACAATATCAGCATTCAGTCACTGTGCGCTTAGGCGGAGTTTTATCCAGGCTGGAGGAGGCGAAGTGCTCTCGTGATCAGTCACAGAGGAGTTTCACCATTAATCACAGTGTTGCCTTGAACATCGACAGAGACTAAAGACGCTATGATCAGCCGAGAAAAAAAGTTCTTCCAGGGACAAAGGATTCATCAATTCACCGAGCTCTCCTCCACACTCACAGCAGAGAAAGTCATGGACTTGAATTGATAAAGTGCATCGAGGGTGGGAGAATATATCCCTTTGCAGAAATTATATTGGCAGCAAATAAAAGAAATAAGCTCAAAATAATATGGTTCATAAACATGTATTTGCACCCAATTGAATGCAAATAAACAAGAAAAAGTATTTTTATACATAAATAGTAGGAAAAAAATGTTTTTTTATGGTAGCATAGAATATTTACACAAAAAGAACATGAACTCAATAGTTTGGGAGCTTCTGCACTTTCTACATATGTAAAAATGTTGCATATGTTGTGTGTGTTGAGACCACATATGCAACAGACAGACATCCTTTTTCCCCCCCAGTTTCCATTGAATCACAGAGATCTTGGTTTCTGGTGTAGTGGCTCTCTATTACAACAACTGCAGACAAGGTAAATAGGCTGGCACACGCTGGAAGGTTCTGCTAACAAAGACTCCACCCACCCTTGTGTACCTGTTGTAGAATTGACCAGCACTCGAATCGACCGCCATATTGGCTGCCATTGGAGGGCGAGCGTGGGTCGGCCATCTGGTTCCTGGCCTGTGATTACCATCCTAAGCTAGCTGCCAATATATCAGGGTTAGCTGACTGCAGTAGCATGTTTGTGGCCTGTTGGCTAGTTGTTGCTAGCTGTGGATTAAGGCGTGTTTGCAGCTAAACTATCCATTGCCGTGGCAACAGAAGCATTGCGTTTCCCCACATCTCCACTCATTTTCATAAACATAAAAAGGTTTAACATCCAATGCATTATGTTTATTGGTAATTGTTAATTATTGGATGAAGTTAAACTTGATTTGACTGTTAACAAAGACCATATAAAGACTATTGTCACACTAATCATTTCTACAGCTAATCTGATGGACATCATCTGAGACCCTGTCAACAGACCCTATCTTGAGAACTCATTTGAAATCTTTTATGTTTGCTGATTCTTTCATGCATTCTGCATTTATTCCAGTAGTTTGTAGTGTTTGCATATTTCATTGAACATAATATTACCATCACCACCTTTCTGTTAATAATTTATAAACCAAGTTATAGAAATATACTGATGTAGAAGACATCTTGGATTTTAACTACTGTGTCAAGAAGTCCAGTCACAAAGGTAAGCGGTTAAAAACACGTGGTAATTCAGACAATTGTCAGCTATAATAATTCATCTAAAGATAATTACTTGGGTTTGCCCTTAATTTGAATGACATATTAATTAACTATAACTCCCAGTTGTAGTAACTAACATATTCATTATCTGCTGGTAAAATTGCAAAACAATGCTGACGAGGAATTTAATATTTGAGTCTTAAAGCAAAATATGAACTTTTACGTACTTTATTTCAACCCAATTACCTCGCAATCTTGTCGCTGCAGGACATGGTGAGCAACCTCTCTCCTTGAAGCACACCATCCCAGGTCTGGATGGTGTTACTGGATCGTACAGGAATGGTGCCCTCCCCTGACTCAATTTTGGTCCTGAGCTGACCTCTTGCTTTGCGGTTTGGGTGTCGGTCTCCCTGATCTGAGGAAGAAAAATTATCATAATGATCAGTAGACCTATCATTAGCTAGTGTGAAGACCTTATATTTGGAATTCACTAATTCACAATACAGAATATTTAGTTATAACCTGTATGGATATAAATATACATGCAAGGCAGAAAAAAACAATCAGAAAGACATATTTTTAAACTATTCCAGTAAAGTGATAAGTAGAAATTATAGACAGAAAAGTAAAAATTATATATTTTTGAGGAAGGTCTATTATTAAAAAATAACAAAAAATATACAACAAAGCAAATTGCTTTTCTTTTTTTTATGCGTATCCAATCACTATTTATCCAGTGTTACATTTCAATGACTTTTTGCATTGTGGGCTGAACAAGCTGTTCACTACGACACCATCTGAAATATTATGGCTGCACATTGATATTTTAAATAAGGAAGAGGCGAATCCAAGCCATGTAGGCACCATACTGAATTTTAAGTACTTATAGAACATTTACAGCTTGAAAAAATGAAATTTGATTTCAAGAGGTGATGCAGTTCATTTTACAGCGTGAGGACAGAGAAATTTGGACTTTAGAGCATGACTACAATACCCAAAAGTTTTAATGTTATAACTTACAGTCTATCTTGGACGAGTTTACTTTTCAATAAATCCAGTTTCTTCACACATTGTCGTAACCCTGCAAATCCTAAAGCTTCTGCAAACGAGGCCAATTAACTATTAACAGTTTTAGCGCAGCACATGAGTAGAGAGAGAATAAGCTATTTTGTAGTGGTATTAACTTTTGAGCAGCAGTTTGTCTTTTGTTAAATGGTGAATTGAAAGTAAAATGTTAGCTATGAATAGGTATAGAAAGGTGAAAAGGCATTGCTCAGTACACCAGAGCAGACTAAATGCAAGCTCTAAATGCTAATACTGGAACGCTAATGCTTACTTTAACGACTTGTTAAAATCACCTAGCCTCTGTATTTACCCTACATATGTAATGCTCAAAACTTAACATAATGCAAATAGATCCAAGCATACCAATTAGCATCCTAAACTGCACTATAATGCTTAACTTCAAGAAAACTGTAAAAGTGCGGAAAGCCTTAGTTCCTTTAAATCAAGACTAAAAACACATTTGTTTAGGATTGCCTTCGACTGTTCTAGTTAAACAGTTCAACTAAAACATCATTAGTCCAACTTTTTTTATTTTCTTTAGTCAAACTGTTTTTAATATTCTCTTTTATTTCTGCATTTGTTATTTTATTTATTTATTTATTTTTTTCCTACTTGCTTTGATTCTGTTTTATTTAATCATGTAAAGCACTTTGCATTGTCTTTGTACTGAATTGTGCTATACAAATAAATTTGCCTTGCCTTGCCTAAATATAGCATGCTAAAGCTATCACCTACAGATAGTACTTGTTAAATAGACTACGCGGGTATGCCCACAGTTGTTCCTCGAGGGCCGCTGTCCTGCAGGTTTTAGAGGTTTCCTTGCTTTAACACAGCTGATTCTAATGATTGCAGTTAAGACAAAGCCTGTTAATTGGCTATCAATGAAAATCACCCGGGCTAGAGCAGGAAAACCTCTAAAACCTGCAGTACAGCGGCCCTCGCGGACCGAGTTTGGGCATGCCTGTAATGGAAGGTCAGAGAAACAAAGCCCAAAATCATAACAAAACAGCAAATCCCCAGAAACTGGAATTCTAAGAAGAGAAGTTGGCATTTCTCCAACCATAAGTTAGAGATCAAACTAGCTGCCTCAAAGTGTGGCATCAGTTAAAGTAAAAAAAAAAACCTGGTCACCCTGGTTTGCTACTTTCAACCAGATATGGCTAAATATTACTGTAAGACAGCTGTTCTATCAGAAGCTTCCAACTGACATTTAATTCCTTGAAGACAGTCTTTTTCAAAATAGATCAGACTGTATGTGAGGTGACGTAGCTTCAGTAGCAGCTTGTTAATGCTAAGGACAGAGTATTAGGTGTACCAGTTATGATGCAAAAAAAATATTTCAGATTGTAATATTTAGAAATGTATATTTAAAGGTTAGAATTCCTTTTCCAGGTAAAGGATCTGGAAACACATTCTTTAGGCTTTTGTTTTTGCCTTTTCATGTTAAACAGTTCTTTAAGCACAGCAAGTTTTTGACAGCTTTACAGATATCACCAACACTTCAGAGATTCTATTTTTTTTATCTTTGAATTTAACGTAGAAGTTGATGGTGTGATTATTTGGAAATGACTATGGTTCTGTTATATTCTTAAGTAAGATTTCACAAAAATCTGTTGCACAAGTAAATTGGTATGTTTACTGACAAAGCCAGTGGCTCCAAAAGAAGAAAGCAAAAAAAAATTATGTTATCTGGGTTTTGTGATGTTCCACCAGCAAGCACCCATCCATTCAGTGACTAATTGAATGTGGCTGTTTTCTATTCAATCTGCCATGTGCAATGGAAAGCGGTTTGACAAGAGTACGAGGGAGGTTAATCAGACAGACAGAGTGGTTTAGGCTGGGTAGGAGAAAGACTGATGGAGGAGGACAGAGAATGACTAAATGCTCTAATTATCAGCGCCTTGTTTAAATATGTCTGTAAAGTGCATTTTGGACACTAGACTAGAAATCAAATAAAACAAAGCATAAGAGAGAAAAAACTACATTTAATTAAATATTGGGAGAAGCTTAACTCTGAGACATAAAAAATATGTCTGCAGAGTTTAGGACAATACATAGAAATAGTTGGCTGGTTTCATACCTTCCACTCCGGCTTCATGCGGAGAGAAAATCCTTGCGTCTCCGCATGGTGAGGTGCTGATGTACAGGTGGAACTGAACGTTGTCCTTTAATTTGTAGCCTCCCTTGTCACATGGCACAAATATAGACTTGTGATGGTCATCTTTAATGTTGCTATAATACAAAAACAATAAAATGCTTGATACATTATATCTAAGTGGGCAAAAAAATGTCAATATGATCCAGTAAATCTGTAGAAATATAAACCTTATATGACTGAATAAACAGTGTATTTGTCTGCTAACCTGAGGAAGAACTCCAGCTGGGTGTAGAGGTACCTGATGAGCGAGCGCCGGGCGATTATCTCCGCATGGCAGTCGTTAAGTGCCAGGCCACGGTCGCTCATGTACTCACCGTTGATGCACTTGGTTCCAGTGGAGACACAGATGACCTGTGCTTCCTTCACATCAGTCCCTGTTTGAGGGGCAAAAACAAAGACGTACAGGTGTATCACATCACACACTGGTTGCTGTCCCTTAACTAACGTTGCACATTGTTGTGACACTTAATCAAGCACCAATAATGCAGAAAACAGACTTTCTTTGTCCTGAGAGACGATACATTTCCAAAACTGATAAAACTTTAAATCATGCATGCCCAAGTCACTGCTTTCAATGCATACAAATTATTTTTAAAGTTCCAGTTTTTAAAATGAGACAGTTACTTCAGAATAAAATCAAGTGTCTTGTCGTGACATTTTCTAACTCTGTGAATTCCCCACCGTTTTTTTTTTTAGAAACTCACACTAAAATTAAAGGAAGGCACATTAATTGCAGCATGAATACTTAAAAACCTTCCCAGGATTTGATTCTCTACAAAATCAACTTTAATTCCTCTTGTTAAGAATCTTGTTAGAGGTTTTTTTTTTGTTTTTTTTTTTTTGTTTTCTATCAAATACCACCATAATAAGAACTGTGATTTATAGTTAGAGCAAGAAGCTCTGATAGATTATGTTTGCAATATATACATTTAAAAAAAATTGTTTGGAATTGGTTACTTCCAATGTTCACTGGTATTTCACTTATGTCCTCTATAAGAGCAATGCAAGAACCAATTAAGAATGATATATTGCACATTTAGTGCATTTATTTTTTGGGACTTCAACTAAGATTACTTTCATTATTATTTCACCCGAATACATTGCTCTAATCTTGTCTCACTTAAGGCTGGTTAATGTTTGATGCGTCTACCATAGGATAGACCTAATACTGTGGCTGACTCTAGGGGGTATTGTTCGGCACAGGCTGCTACCTTACAACATAAAACTTTATATAGAAGTAGAAAGAAAAGTTTTCAATGCCTCTTCAGGTCATCATAAAGTGGCTGAAATTTCTTTCCAAGAGATGATTGAATTTGTTCATCATAGTGATACTTATAGGCCAAATCATAGCATGTCTATAAACGTTTATACTTATCCTGCCAGTAGGAGTCTTCGCTTGCCCACCATGTAAACTGAGTTCAGACGCCGCAATGCTTTCACGTATAACAAGATACTGTGTTAACTGTGTTAGTCTATAGAAACTTAAAATACAAAAGCAGAAGAATCAAACATGTCTTGGCTTCTTTAAAACCAACTTGCTGAGAATCGGCTCTTTAGCAGCTTATTTATCACTAGAGGTTCAGTAAGAGAAATTCTAACATGGAGTAAGATCCTTTTGTAGAGTTATGTAAGATTTGTTCCTGTAAAGTGCCTTGACGTTATAACAACGAAGATGAACAATTTCTCAACTTGACTACTGTCATACAATATGGTCAAATGCAAAAAGAAAAGATTTAGAGAAACTTCAAATAATGCAGAATAAAGCTGCCCGTGTAGCATTAAATTGTTCTTACAGGACCAGTATAAATACCATGCATGCAAATCTAAGCTGGCTAAAGGTTCATGACAGGGCACTAGCTTTGCTATTATTCTCAACGTGGAAAATCTTAAAACTCCAGAGTCCACTGTTTCTGTTTGTTCAATTTTAAAATAATTTGGACTCTCATGGTTATGCCACAAGACATGCAGCTGAAGGACGAGTTGTAATTTCTAGGGCGAAAACTAATTTTCTCATATGCACCTTTACTTACAGAGCAATGAAAGAATGGAACTCATTGCCATTAATTCTCATAAAAGTTGTACATAAATCTGCTTTTAAAATGCAACTTAAGAAGTTTTTAGGAGCAACTTATCTATAAATTAAATAGTTTCATATTCTAATTTATTGTAACTTATTCATAAAATGTTAAAATTTTAAATTGTAACTTTCCCCTTTTCTATGAATGTTCAGTCTTATTGATGTGTATATGATATTTGTCATCTGTCAAACATGTTCATGAATTTACATTGTGTACTGTATTTTAATGATGTGGACCCCAGGAAGAGTAGCTGGGTGTAAAGCACAGCTAATGGGGATCCTAATAATAAATAAACAAAAAAAATAAACAAACGTGGGATGTTATGGCAGTTTGCTCTGTATAAATAAACTGAATTGGATTAAATATAAGACAAATTGTCAGTAAAAAAAGTGGTAAATATCATACATGTTTTGATCTTGTTTTTCATGACACGGTTAACATCCAAATTGCTAATCTTTTTGTTTTCATGTCCCTTTGAACGACCGAAGCATTCCCTAAAACACAAAAATTCGCAACGGGTCTCCTTGTCCAGTTTTACCTGTTGTCATGACGACTCCTGCCAGGACTTTTCGTCGTGCATGGGGGGAGGTGAAGTTGTCTGTCAGCTCACTGAACTTGTCCACCACCAGGCGAGACACAGCGTCAGCCAGAACCTGGAGACACAGACAAGCGAGCAGGAGGACACATGCACATAACCGTGCAGACACAAAAAGCTTGCCTTAGATATGTCAGCCTTCAGAGCATGTCTGATGTTATCCCCCCCTGGAGCACTATCTACCTGTCACAGTGCTCGCATCTGACATCAAACAAGAGTCACAGACTTGAAACAGCAACAAGTGAAACTGGCCTGACCCCCTCTGAGGTAAGCATAACAATCTTTTAAGCAGCACTGTTGGAGTTTGGAATGACAGTTTTGGTTTATCAGCTCCCTTCTGAGAGCACAAACAAACAAATAAACCTGCACATCAGTTGTGAGCGAAGTGTTTTCCTGCTTTCTAGAACTTTATCTCCAGCCAAACATTTGAGGAAAGCTAAAATTACCTTCACACATCTTTAAGTTTTTGGACAGCCAGCCCCTCTTGCAGGCTGTTTAACCACTGCTAATGCGATAGAAAATGACCACAACCAAAAGATGACGGCTGGTTGATCACAAATTAAAGAAATCAGTCTAATATTACTTCCCTGCTACTTTAGCTGCCCACTTAAAACCGGATGACTTCAGCTTTTAATGCCAAGGACAAAAAAGCCTTTTAAACTTTATAGATGTAAAAAATACTATTTACTTGTCCTGCTGTTTTGTTCTCTCTCACAAAATGCGTGATGAGGAATTTGTTGTCCGAACCAAAATAAAAACAAATTAAAATTAAAAATAAGAAAGAAAAAGATGTTGAGATTCTGCCAGCCTGTTTTCTCCAATAAGTGCTATGCCACATAGGAAGGGATAACAGAAATTAAAATATCGTGCAACTGGAAATTAGTTTGAGTAATTAGTGTGGGTGTCACCAATGATATAGGCAGCAGGACAAGATGAGAGAGGGAACAAAGAAAGAAAAAAAGCCTGTTGACAATGTCAGGCTGATTGGCTTTGCTGAATGAGTTAATTTTCTCTCCCCACTGACACTCATCTCAGACAGGCAATGCGACTTCACTTCTCTGCAAACCGCTGTGAAGGAGGCTTTGATGACAGCTTTTTAGATTAGTACAGTTTGAAAGGTTGACTATTTGGCAGTTTGCTTCCTGTAATCAAACAAAGCTATATATTAGCTTCAGAGGAATACATTAGTTTTAGATGTGTGCTTCATCCTCTACCAGAACCTACTAAAATAACATGTTTTCATTGATACAGACATGGTAAAACTAAGTTCAACTACTGGTTTAACATCAAATAGAATAACGTTTAATGGTATTTTCTTAAAGTAAGTTTTCTGTAAGACTTAAGTAGTGTTGGCCTAGTGGTTGGTGCAGTGTGCTTGTGCTCTGAGAAGGTTGCAAGTACCCGGTTCGATCCCCACAGACTGCCACTCTGGGTCTCTGAGCAAGAGCCTTAACCCCACATTGCTCGCTGGGCGCCGCACAGTGGCAGCCCACTACTCCCAAAGGGGATGGGTTAAATGCAGAGAGTTAATTTCTCCACTGTGAGATCAATAAAGTTTGTTTTCTATTTTTCTTTTTCTACACTTTCTGGTTTCACCATGATGTTGCTTCAAGTTGGCTCTGCAGAAGTTAATTTATGTACAGTTGTATATCCTTTGGTCCATTCTCACTGTTCTGCTGATGACTCCATTTCATCATCTGGTAAAAGGCCTTAGGTTTTACTTTAAAATACTGGAAAAATTGGCGTCCTACTAGACTAAATGACTGCAAGTTGCCCAGGTAAACTAGGCTGGGTGCAAAGCAAGTGCAAATCACCCCCCTCCGCCTCTGTGCCTAACAGTTGCAAGTAATGGTTTAGATAATGTGCTTCATTTGGCTGCACCTAAATTCATTGTTTCAGAAGTCTTGCGGTTAATTTAAGCTTTTGCACCATTTATATGACAATATTCCCCAGACGATACTTCCAAAAAATTCATACTTTATTAGTCTAACTGTATCCCTATTTTCATAAACTGTAGGATTTAATCTAATTCGTATAAAATCAGTTCATAAGGAGTAATTTTACAAAGCACATATCAAGAAAAATAGTTGTCTCAAAAATGTTTATTTAATTAATGATGTTTTTATTATAAAATGATGGACTTTAGTCACTGACATCTTAAACTGCTTTGAGAAGGTTAATGCTGATTTATAAGTTTGCCTTATGGAAGGACTCCTGCTATTACAGAGATTCACAAGGCCAAAGATCAGACAAACAAAGGAATTTAATTAGCAGCTTTTGTTCTCTACTTTCCCTTTAATGTCAAAAAGCCACTTAGTTTCCTTTTTTCCATAACCACACATCTGAGATCATCTGTACCTCACCAGGTAGACATATGTAAAGCATTACCCAGTAAGAGCATAACTAATAAAATCTTTTAAGCTTGCATACACGTTTCTTGTTAAAATCAATGCCAATCATGCCCGTCTTTGATGACTCTAGTTGTTCCATAACTTTGCACATTAGTGCTGCAGACTGGCACTAAGCCGCTCCCTTTACTGTCAGCTGAAACCATTAACAATGGCTGACTATGATTTAGATACAGCTACTTTTATTTAAAAAAAAAAAATTCCTTAAGGCCAAATCGTATCCTCAGCTTCATTACAGTTCATGGAAGTGACCATTTAGTAGCACTTTTTGTCCAGGTTTGGAGCTAAAGAGCTGTACTGATGGCTAAACTGCAAGAAATTAATTAACTGAGTGACATATAATAAAAGGTTGCTGTGAGCAAGTGAAAAGAGAACATCACACTGTGTCGTTACCTTGCAGAACCACTGAGTTCGCATGTTGTATGAAGTGTTACATTTTATGTTGTTTTTATATGTTAATGTATATTAATAGATAAGACTTCCCCTGTTAGCCATTATAGGTGGCGTTGGGCACACTCAGGCACCACTGCTTATATTGAAACATGTCATCAATACCATGCTGATTTAATGGGGAAACAGCATGAATCTGTCCCAAAAACATAAAAAACAAAACAAAAAAAAGTCTTGCTAAACTAATACAAAAGCAGTGTGGAGATTGTGCATTACAGTGTTGACAAGTCTAAAATATTAGCTATAAGGATCCTGTCAGTTGTTTTGAAAAGCTCAAAGAAAGTTTCTGAATTCAGGGGTGGACTGGACAGCGGCAGGAGTGGGATATTTAATGGTGCTTTCGGTTATACCTGGGACATATACCCCCTTTTCCTAGCTTTGAGAGTGGTCTGTCAGTTGCATTGCCAGAGAAACACCGAAACTTTCAGAGTAGCAGAGAGAGAGAGAGAGGGTAAAAAAGAAAAAAAGCCAAACTCTGGCTGGCAGTCAATATTCATTCATAATGGAGCAGGTGAGACATAAACACTAGTGTTGAAAATTAAAAACCTTAGCATAGCCTTTGCAGCACAACTAGGTTAAAAAATATTTGTGTGATGCTGAAATTGTATGTCAGATTCTGTAAACTCTTCATAAACATGAACAACAAATGAATACCTGAGTATTGAAATCCTTGTATTATATAAGTCAAACCTTTAGTTAACCATGAAAATGATTTGTCGGGTATTCTAAATACTGTATACATCGCTTTACCTTTTCCAAACGTTTTGGGACATATATTTCGGGTTAGTAAATTTAAGTTAATCAAACTGCCCAAAGCAGAATATCATCCTATTTATAAAAGTTTATTTAACTTAAAAAATAACCTGTTTTGGTTACTTTTGACACAACTTCTACCTGTGCAGCCAAGACAACGCATAGCAATGGTTCCCGTGTCATACTACTGTATGTCCTATGTGGCGATATACATTAGTGGCTTTATAAATGAGGAATAGATTAATCCAAGAAAATGTGCTTCATCAGAACAGAATTTATTAAGATGTGCCTGACCTATAACTGTAGTTTTATTTTCTTCTCAAAATCTATTAACTTCCTAACTGCCTTTTCTCTTTCGACAAAATTATAATAACTATTCTACCCAAGTCATTTAACAGAATCCTGTTGAGGAGTTTTTTTTTTTTTTTGGAAACAGCAATCATTACTGCTTTCATCGGGTGTTAAACAAGAACGTCTGCTGCCGTATTTATTTCTAAGAGCGCAAAAATTGCTTAATCTCTTTGCATAGTTACAGAAAACGTGTGCTAATCTCTCTCTGCCAGTCTGTGGGTTTGGGTTCTCATGTAGGACACAATTGGACAGGCTCAAAAACAGTTTCTTACCTTGTGCATTAATTGCACTCAACATAAGATCCTGCCATGTGTTGCTTGTTATTGTATTGGAACAGTCACTTTTTTTTAAATGTTTTTCATGTTCATACAGACATTATATTCTGTTCTATTGTTGGGTAATTGCAGCTCACTTCTCTTGCTTTGATATACATTATTATTACATCTGTTTGTAACATTTATGTTTGGATAGAGTAGCCAATACAGTCCGTCTTTTACTAATTAAACCAATTAAAATCTAACTTTTTTACATTTGTTTAGTTCTTGAGAAATTTGGAAAGACAAAAAAAAAAAAAAAAAACTTACCTGGGGAAGGTGAAGTTGCAACCCCTCTCTTGGTATGGGTTGCCTGGACGGTGTCTGGTCTAGTTGCATGTTGAAGAGAGCAGAGAGGGCGGCCTGTGCTGCCCGGGCTTTCGCCAACTTTTTGTTCCGCCCTGAGCCTTCAAACGTCTGTGAGTCCACTGTTACTGACATCACAAAATTCTTGGCATGACTTTCACCACTCTCTGAGACAAAGTCATACTTGAGGCCTGGCCTGAGCTCATTGAGGATCATGACTGGATTTTTGCCAGTGGAGGGTGAGCTGAATACAGATGGAGGGGGTAAAGGAGCCTGGGCAAGGTTGCTGCCAGGTGGTGTGGGTAACGGATACTCCCCTAGTGAGTTTGTACCGTTGGAGCCTAGATAGAAGGATTCTTCAGGCGCGGCGGGTGTCTCAAAGCCATTAAAGAGCATGTCAGGGAAGTCTGCTTGATCTGATGTAAAGTCAGTATTCACCGTCAGTGTACGACCCATGGCCAGGTGGGCCTCAGATGCATTGGGGAACTGAACAAATGAACGCAGCGCTTTCTCGGCTGCATTCAGCTTAGCCTTCTTCTTGGTCGGACCCATGCCCTCAAACATCTGCCCATTAACCTCCACAGTCATGACAAACACTGGTGCATGGACCGGCCCAGTCTGAGACAGCAGCTTGTACTGCAGACCTGGTTTGATCTCATTTAGCTGCATCAGAGCATTTTTGGGCAGCACCGGCCCTGGTGTTTTCTTGCGCTTCTTTGCCCGGAACTTGGAATGGGCGTGCCCATTGTTCCCCTCCTCTAAGGGGCGCTTTCGACTGCCATGGCCGCTTCCATTGGGGAGCTGATCACCGACTCCCATCCCGTCTTTGCAGGACACGTTGTCCAGGTTTCGGTTTTCCTTAACGTCTGTGCTGCTTGAACCTGCGGTGCCCAGAAAGAGTAACTTACAACGCCTTCGTTGCAGGATCTTGTAAATGCAAAATTTATAGATTCCTTTATCACTCTTTGGAACTGAACCAATGATTTGTGTTCCATTATAACAGCAAGACAATTATATAATTAGGATAGAATTTATAAACCTCACAGAAAAGACAAATACAAAAAAAAACTGTTTCCTCAGATTAACAGTGAAAGCTATAGCTGGGTACCTTTGTAAACATTTTGCTTTTTAAACTCAAAATTAAGCCAACTACTCTTCGGGTTCACTCAAAGTTACTACAGTTATAAAAAAAGTGATAATGTGTAGTATTTCCATAAAGATATAGACAATAGACATTGCACATGGACAGGGCGAACAAACAACAGGCACACAAAAAACAGACTTAAAGGGTTCCTTTTTGACCCAGTTAATAATTGTTTCTAAAGGAAAACCAGAACCAATTGTACCCTAGACTAAGGGGAACACATATCACTGATTCCAGTTAGCAAAGTGGATGGAATGTTGGGAAAAATTTTCATTTATAACATCCTTCAGCAAAGGCTTGATAGGTTACTCCTTGCGGTACTCAAGAGAAAGAGAGGCCGCAGTGTGCATGAGTGGGATTGTAGGTTGGGTTGAGGGAGTGCAGGGAAAGTAGTGCAGGGGTAGGAAGCTGAGGACCAGGCAAACAGGAGAGTACATCAAAGAGGCATCAAAGAGGAGAAGACTCCACCTACTGCAGGATCCTAAAGGCTTGACTGGCGACACGGTGGAGGTTAAAATGCAGTTTACACCATTAACATGATTGCTTTTTTTTTTCTTTTCTTTTTTTAAAAAAAAATAAAGAATCCCGTATTGAAAATGAAGAAAGTCTTAAGACACAAACAAACAAAAAGGTTTGCTAATGAGGTGCCATTCATAAGACCCTGCGCCTCTGAGATCCCCCCTTGGAGCTTGTCAGAGAGCAGAGTGTTGACAAAATGTTTTGACATGCCATTACCAACTGCACACTGCTACTGACATGTCCTGAGTCAGAAACAAAAAAAAACCTAAGATCACAAACTGCAATTCTTTCAGTTTATGACCTGAAAACATGCAATCTGTTCATCAGCATGCATTTAGAGCTATGCCCTTGTGTTGCAAATGAAGACAGGATCAAAATGTAGGTTTTTGCCACCAAAACAGTTTAAGAGGTAAACCAGAGCTAGATCTCACCTTTCTTTTATTTTTTTTCCTTCATGGAGAGCAGAAACTGCAGCACTTCAAAGAGCACCACATGTGTTTTTATATCATCACCAAATAATTGCTGGGTTTCTATTGGGTGGAGAGTTACATGGCTGCTGGTCGTTTCACCCTTTTTCAAACTTTTGTATTTCCCCAACTTTGCGGCACCAATTTACCATGGAACAGCCATCTTTGTTTTAATCTATACACAACAAGGACACTTTTCGTACCACCTTAGTGGTGATGATAAAAAAAGTTTAAGCCTGCAAATAATCTAATATCTAATATGGGATGTAGTAATGCGTTACCAATAAATCAGGAGGAGGTCAGTCCTTTTGTTGAAATTCCTCCTCTGAAACTTATACATTTATAGTGTAATGCTGGTAAATAAAATCAACAATCCAAATTATGTAACTTCTGTTAAATGAAAATGAGGTTAACTTCCATTAATGAGTTTAAATCAGTGGAAAATGGTCTTATTTGTGTTTGTTAGAAATTAAACACAATCAACCTAAATAATAATAAAATGGTAAAACCATATTTACCTCTTATTTAAAAACAAAAGCAAATTTTAAGTACATGGATGCCAAATAATTAATCTACAACTAAAATGGTAACATCAAGGTAATATCCAGATTAACGGAAAAAACGACACTAAATTGGATAGGGAGACTACCGATCCATTATAATGGTGTGTGTGTGTGACACATTTACCACTCCTTAGAAAGTTCTGATTTAAACTTTCCTGAAATAAAACCACAACAATGTTAAAGGAGTTACTCTATGGTTAAAAAAGTTAGCAGTGAAAGGATGTAAGCTTTTTTTTATAGCATGCTATTATTGTTTAAACTTGGATAAATCCCTTAAATTTCCCTTTTAACAAATTCTGGAGATATGCATTTCAAACTCATCTAAAACATCGAGCTTTTAAGTGTCTGTTTGCTTTTTGTTAAGAAACAAACAAAAAAAAAACTGTAGATATTAGACTCGACTCCAGTTAAATAGTCTATGAGACCAGTTAGGGACCAGTGCTGGTGTAGCTCTAAAACAGCTTTGGTGGAAAGAAAGGCCTTGAAAACAAAATAAAACAAAACCCCAGACAATCCCACAGCCAATCAGGTGCTGGAACCTGGACTCTAGAAATATATATATGGCTTACAAAAATGAAACATAATTAATGTGGTTCATAGGTTGTGTCTCTGCATTAGGTTATATTAACAGGAACCAACTAGTGTGTTATATTTGAAATGTTTAGATGTAATTTCTTTCATAAAATCAGATAATTACTGTACATTTCTTTATCAGTTTCATCCGTGCGGCTCTGATATTAAATAAAACCAATAAATACGAAACATTAATAAATATCTTGCATGCTGCAAATTTACAGTGAAGAAATGGCACACAAAAACCTGCAGCTTCTTTTCTCATTATTATTCACAACACTTTATTTAGGCAAAACACCATTTAATATATCTTACCCTCAAACACAACTTCTACTATTTCTATTAAGTGTAATAATGAGAATCTGGATACCCAGCAGAGCTAAAAACTCAAACCAACAACTGAATCAGACATAAGAGGAAAAAAAGGCATAAAGAAAAAGCCATGCATGAAATGATGGAACAGACATGCAGTTGTGGTCACTGACATGCTGGAATTTGTGTAATCAGCATTTTGAGGTAACTTTTAATACTTTGAAAAGATTTAAAGTAATCTGTTGTAATTTAATGAGTGAAACATCTTGACTTAATTTTCAGTCCAACGTAGCTGTTGGGGTTTTTGCTCTATTTTATCAGATTAGAGCTTTAAGAGCTGGACGGGTTGTCACATCAAAGCTACAACATTAGCTCTTTTCTTCCCCTGGTGTTCCCTCGGTATTAAAGAAGTAGAATTGTGTGAGCTAGGACTGCGTTTTATCTTCAGATATATCTTTTATGTATATCTGGGAATGAAAATGTAAATCGAGGCTTCAGAGGCTTTGAAAGGCAACAAAGACAATTTAGCAGCAGCATATTTCACATGACAACATACCCTTCCACAAAGTGAAGGCAGAATATGACGACAATCACACCTTTTCATCTTTATCAAGATTTAAAATACTGTTGGGACTACAGCTAACTTTGAGTGTGATTGTTGTGGGTGTAATAGGAACACAGCTCCTGTGTCTAATTAAAATTCAATAAGCTTGAGCACAGACAAAGCTGGGGGAGAATATCTGGTGTATCCCAAATTGGGATATGTTATCAACATTAGGCTTGATTTAAGTTAATATGGCCTATTTATCTGTTGATGTATGAATGTGTTTTTCCTTTTTTAAGACAAGACATAAAATACCTTGCTATAGATATTTCAAAAAGAAAGTACTTCAGTTTGCAATTCTCAGGTTCTAGAAATATATATATATTTTTTTAGATGATAAAAATTGTTTTCCCTGTTTCCAGGATTATTAAATCTTGTCCTAAAATCTACCCTTAGCTTGTAGCAGGAAGGGGTTTGCTGGTTGACAGCAAACAGACCAGATGTCAGTAATGTTTGCAGATATCTGTTAATGCCCATCAGTCTGGAACAATTTTAGCTTCACTGCCATTTCATTCTACATCTAGAAATATTAAGGAGAAATATTAATAACATTATAGACAGCTGCCACATTGTCATAACTGTTGAGCTTTGGATTTGAAAATACGAGACATTTGACGACATCCGCTCCAGTATCCATTATATTTTAAGACAGGTGTGCAAGAGATCTAAGATAAGGTGATTAGATTTTGACTTGTGATGCTAGCGACAGTTACATTTGGAGAGGCAGATGAATGTCATATATAATTTTATAATACAATAAATCAGAAAATTTGGGGGAGATTGCTAATACAGCTGAAAGAAGTATAAAATACTGTAAACAGGAGACTTGACGGCTCAGACAGAGCAGCCAATTGCAAGGAAACAACGCCACAGTCTCTCTCTGCGCCTCACTGACAGATGTGCATCGGGGAAAAAAGTGCAATGTGCCCATTTTAGACTCCCTTTCTTTCATTAATGTTAGAGCTAAAAGGCAAACTCATCTAATGATGTCCTGGAAGGGTGGGAAATTAAGGCATTTGTCAGAGACATAGAAATAGGTACACTTGATTATAAAACGATGCAGCTGAATATGCAAAGCATAGTATGAGTGCAATCCGCTGACGTACGTGAGGGTCTGAAGTAGGCATGGGAATCGAAAACCGGTTCCTGTTCAGAACCGGTTCTGTGTGTTCCAATTCCATGGTACCGTCTGGCAACTCCCTTAACGGTTCTTTTAACGGTTCCAGGAAGCACCAGAGCCGCTCGGGGCAGCACGACTTACGTCACGTTTTTGACGCAAGTTACGTACGCGGCATTCAGTAAGCAAGTACGACGTGACCAGGCGTAAGTCTAGAAAAGCAAAACAAAAAAACGGCATCTCATCGGGTAAACCGATCAAAAGTTTGGATGTAAAGTGGCAATAATATCAGCGGGAGGAAATACATCCAAAGTGCAGACGAACAAATGCTGCGTTTTTGATGCTTCTGGACAGAAGCTAAAGTTACAACCAGCATGGAAGGCAACTCTGGTAGTAAGCAGCTAGTTTTATATCACTGGCTGTGCTTAATATGGTTCCTAGTAAATCATATGCCATTTCTGGAAATAAACCAGTTTCCTACCTCTCTTTGGGGTTATTAAACATGCTATGATGTTGCTCCGCCATTCAGGGAGCGAGAGAAAGGTGACGCTCGTTTATTTAAATCAGGGGGAGATGAGTTTATTTCTCGAAATTATACAGTAATGCTTTTTCATTAAACAGATGCCTTCTCCATTAGATTTAGATGACTGTGAGAAGACAGCTAGCCTGACTGGCTCAGAGGCTGGCAGCTCCCGTTCACTGCCTTCTGTTTTCGCCAAGGCAGGCAGAAATAGAATGTCTCAGGCGAAGGTAGACGAATGTCACCGTGCACTTACCAATTTCATTGTTTCACAGAATCAATAAAGAAATCAAAATCATGAAAATTTTATCAATTCCCAACCTAGTCTGAAGAAATAAATAATATTTTAAGCTACAATTAGGTTCTTTCATATTTCTTAAGTACATATGTTCCATTTTATGAACTTGCAGGATGTATAGTGCATGTGTTTCGGGACTGAGCATTTTTTTGCTGCTTCGAAACAGGTAATTTACTTACTTACTCCGGTCTTACATTTTTTTTTTTAAATTCCTTTCTGTATTTAAGGATCAGCTGACCATCTTGGAACAGCATCTAAATGAATGAGTGCCCCAAAGTGGTCAGATAGAGAACAGCTGATATTCAGACTTATTTTACATTTTTTCAAGCATCTGGTTTCCTCAGGGAAAGTAAGTCCTTCAGAGTGCAGACAGAGCTTGTGAATAGTGTTGCATGAAATCAAAAAAGGTTTTTGTTGGGTCACTGTTGAAATATTTGAGTAGCATTAGTGTAAATATGGTAGCAGTTAGAAACATAAGGTAAGGCAGTATTTAGGAGTTGTGGTGCTACTGAGTTTTTAAAAATGTTACAATGTCTTAGGTTAGCCTACCTTAGTTTCTGATCAAACTAAATACAGAATCTTAAATGCATTTTTTAGGCAGGATATTTAGCCTCAAAACCTGGACACCTCAAAGTCATTGAGTTGATTAAGTTACTTCTCTATTTGCCTGAAACTTATGCAGGCAGTAAAGCGTTTCTGTGCACATGATGTATAAAGTAATAAACCTAACATGTGAATGAGAGAGGGCTAAAATTGAAACACTGAATCTTGATATATAACGTCAGTTATGTACTGAATTTAAAATTAGGTGCAATTGTGTAGAATTACAGAGCATTCATTTACACTACGTTAATACTTCATATAAGTCGTGTTTATTTGTACACTGGAGTTTGGATTGAAAGGATGTAAGAATATGGATAAAACAGACTATTATACCATGTATTAATTCATCAAACCGAAGAATTCAACATACCTTAATTTCACCACAAATATTTTCTCACTCAGATCTAAATGGTCAAGTATTTCCCAACACAAGAGTTTTTATCTTAACATTTAATCCAAACCCAATTTCTTACTTCATTTTAGTCCTGAGACACATAATGCTTTTTTTTTTCGACAGTAATGAGTAAACAACAAAACTTGACACTGATTACGCAACATACAAAAAGAGAAGGATAAAAAAAGCAGGCAGACAGAAAGGAGGGAACAAAAATAAAGGTAAGAAAAGATGGACGGACCAATGAGAAACATCAAGATGGACTCACTCATGTTTTCCTCCTCATCCACATCCATGGCGTCAGGTTTGTTTTGACCTGTGAGCAGCCTCGCCCCCGCCGCACCTGAGGATCGGAGGACAGAAAGGCGGAGCGTGTCAGCACATACAGAGCAACACACCAACATATTCGGAAAGCTTGAGTGGCTACAGCGATGATGAATTTCCTCGCCTGACATAGCGGCACACACACACAAAGAAACATGCACACATTGCGCTGTGTAAGAGCTCCTGATGTAAATATATAAATATTCAGAGACGGGGAGATATCAAGGTGAGAGAGAGGCCCAGGGCTGACAGGCCTTAATAGCAGGAGCAGTCTATTGTGACTTTAATATCCTTGCGATTAGACCTCATTTCCCACTGCCTGCAGAGAGATATGCAGCTCCTGACATGGCCAAGTCACTCCACTGCTGCACACATGTGACTTAGCCCAAGGTGGAGGGAGCGATTAGAGATCCATTAAGCAACACTTTTAAACTAAAACTGAATCAAAAGATTTCCTGTAATTGGAAATATTCGCTTTAAATGACGACAACTGGTAAACCTTTGGACTGTATGACGGTTTGAAACTTTTCAAAAAATGTTTGGCAGAGATTTGCTTAAAGTTGCCCCTAAATGTATGAATGAGTAATTTAAGATGTACCTACCAACTAGGGCGGGACGATACAGAAATAAAGCATATCGATAAAAAACAAAATGCATATTGATCGATATCAATAATTATCTAAAAGATTAAAAACCATATTTTAAGTGCAGCTCAGGCCATTTTATAATATTGCTAAATTATTTACTTAAACAATCACAGAATTCCAATCAAATCTTTATTTAACCAACTTTTTTAACCATAACTGATTTCTTTTTAAAGAAAAATAACTCAACATAAGAGACCTGAGTGACGCTGTTAAACAATTGCTTCAGGTTCCATTCTCTGTCTATGTAGTGAATTGAGAGGCTGAGATAGGACTTGGATATGTGACTTGAGCAGAGGTCCGATGTTGTGGCGTAGTGAGACACAAATTGCAGCTCATTTTGCACTGATTCCTTGCTTCATTGTACAAATTAAGGAGCTCTAGTTAGAGAAAAATCGCAGCGCAGAACTTCGCATCGTAGATTAAGAGTGGCGAGCGATAAGAGTGATGTCCTTATGCTGGTCGGAAGGTTGTCATATTAATCACAAAGAAGGAAGCACAGTTTAGCTCGCTTCTCCTGCTTTGTTTAGGCAGAAGTTCCTGAAGGTTGCGCCGACGATGTTGAGAAACAGCTCGTCCTCGATTGGGTGTGAGTGGCTTGGATGATAAGACAAGTTGGTTCTGTAAAAAGACTTTGTTTTTACCGGTTCCCAGAAAATATTACAAATCACCAAAATTTTGTTTCTGTCTGACTTGCTTTAACCGAAATATTGCTGAACTGTTAAGCTACTAAAACCCTTATTTGGGACAATTTCCTCCGCCTTTCCTGCTGAAACTCTTCATAAGCTTAGTGTTGTAATTTGAAAGGGTGGCGCATTGTGACGGCGTTCCTGGGGTCTGTGACTGTGATTGGTTGGTGGGAAGTGGCGACTTAAGCATCAACCTACGATGAAAAGGAAGGAAAACTGTTTCTATACTGAACTTTTATCAGCAACTTTTTTTTCTATTGCGCCACAGGTCTATTGATGGATATATATTATTTAATTATTGTCCAGCCCTACTACCTATCAAGTAGTTCCAAGTACAGTTCAACTAATTCAACTGATTTTTTTACTTATTGCCAACTTTGGCAATAAAGTGGAAGATTTAGTTGCCACTATATTAGGTTTTGTCGAACTTCAAATCCCCCAATTGAATTCCCATGTCTGCTACTTCCTCTAAAAGGTATGTCTATGAATGCTTGTAACCACAGCAACAAGCCAACCATTGCTCCAGAGGTGAAGGAGGATTAAGGCAGTTATAATTACAGTTTCTATAAGCATATAGTTATTCCTCAAATTATGGAATATCATAATCTGATTGGCATTAGGTCTGAAATGTCTATAGAACCAAGTCTATAGTGGAGTAGAGACAACTGTAAAGACAACAATGAGAATGAGGAGCAGACTGTAGTTTTTGAGAAAGTTTAGGTCAGAAGGATGATCCTCTAAAAGTCTGTGCTGGTGGGGGTGATTTCTTTCATCCATCATCTGCGGAGGTAGCAGCATGAGAGCAAAAGGTTTAAAGAAGAATAAAAGCTAACAAATAAATAGAAGCACAACAAGGTAATAAAAAAAGTAATGCACTAATTTTTAATAGAACTGATTTCTGCAACAGTTTCTCGCAAGTCTGCATAAAAAGTTCAGAGAGCTGCAGCTGACCCAGAATGCTGCTCCCCGCGTCCTCACCAAAACTAAGAAAGATGAGCACATCACCCACTTGCAAAAACTATTGCACTGATTCCCTGTTTCTCACAACTTAGACTCTAAAATACTTCAATTAAAACATTACTCAAGGGCTTAGGCTTAAAATACTTTAAAGACTTCCCTTCAATTTATCAGTCGCCCAGACCTCTATAATAAAATTATAAAAGCTGCGAAACCATGAGTTTCTTTAAGGTGGGAGGATAAACATATTTTTGCAGGGCAGACATTGACTGCTATCTAAACATTAGTTGTTTTTTTTCAGTCCAACTTTCGTTCCATTTTTTAAAACAATTATTTTTACAAATAAATATTGTTTTGATTATTTTGTTACCCTAATACCACTGCGATATACTTTTTGCTTTCTTTCTCATGACAGCCCTTTGAATGGGGCCATTGTCGTCATGGTTACCGAGGTCAGGCACACCTGGATTACTCAGTTCCTCCAGTAGAGAAAGACAGAAAACAAAGGAGCTGCTTTAAGTTCAGGAAGCACTAGAATTGTGCACAGCGTCCATGGTCTCCATTGTTTGGATACGATTTTTACAAAGAATTCTTCTGAAAATGAAGAACATCATTCCTCTTCATCAGAAGGTCAAACAACAACAGAGTGTATTGCGTTAAAGGCTTCTCCAGCTACATCATAAAAGAAACCCCTAGATGAAATCCATGTCTTCCTACAGCTATTAACTATCTAAAAAAAGAAAAAAAAACCTATAAAATTTCATTTCTCTTTGGTATCACTAAAGTAGTCTGGAATTTGATTACATTTGAAAATAACTGAATCAAAAAGATTCAAATAAGTTGGAAAAGCTTTATATTCTACACTTTATGATATAAAGAATACAAGAAAGAATACTGATGGCTAAATGATGGGTATCATTTTTAGTTGTAGCATGTTTTGTGTGATCAGTAATTGTTTCGACAGGTCAGAATTGATTATCAACCTTACCTCTCTAGTGTTTTTGCTAATCTTGATTCATTCTTCAACAATCTCTGCTTCTTATCATTCTATGACAAGTTAGAGCAGATGTGTGATTAGAAAAACAAACAATAAGATTGGCCTCCAGTTTAGGTATTCTGCTAACGGGTCATCTAACAATTAATATTATTAAATGACTATTGAAATTGGTTTGTAATTCATTCCCAAAGAGCACCAAATAAATTCGGAGAGAAAAAAAAAAGGTCTGTAGGACCAAAGCAGATGAGCCCAATCTTAGCTATATTGCAAAAAGAGTGTAAAAATCTAAACGGGAAAAGAAGAAGAAATGAACATCATAAAGAGAGTGGGTGAAGGCAGAAAAAATATGGCACAGTGATATGGAACAGATTGTGCCGAATCCATTCTCCCTCTTATTCGCCTTCCATCATTGCTCCCATTCCTCAGCTAGACACTTTCTTAAACTAAAGTAAATGGGCTAATTAATCTGAGCTAATGGTGGGTGACAGCAAATATGCTAGCACAATTATCACCCTATTAAGGATTCGTATTACAACCCATAATTGAAAATGAAAAGGTGGGGTGAAGAGAGGAAGGGTGGGAAAAGGTCCAACCGAGTGGGAGATGGGAGTCATTTTTCTCTGGGAGCCACAGCCAGGTGCCTCATGCTTCGACACCTTCATTCGCCGACCCAGAGCCAAACCTAGCTCACTTTCGACTGCACACAATGCAAAGCAATTTTCTATTTCCAGACTTTTAATTACTGGCAATGGAATATACTGGGTAAACAAATTACATTCTTACATGAGCACAAAACTAAATGTGAAAACATGGCTGGTTTAACTGTGCGTTTTATTCTCATTACTCCAGCGACCTAATGTGGACTGTGTAGTCTATTTAGCAACCAATACAGACGTGCATTTGAGTTTTGATTTTTCACACTTAATTGTTCTGGTTATAAATCTATAACCAATTCTGAAATCAGATTAAATCAGTTGCTCCAGTCTCAAAAAACATTGTACTGGAGGGGAATTAGTGTCTACAAAATCCTCAAGTAAAGGTTTCATGAAAGGAGAACAAAATTCATTGACTGCTAAATCATGGTTGGGATTAAACCAGTGGTGAAAAATGTCAGTCCTCAAGGACCACCGTTGTGCACGTTTAAACAATTCCCTGGTTCGACACAACTGAATAAACCAATTGGTTCATTACCAGACCTCTTCGGAGACCTCTGCATAACTTTTGAAACAAGTATAAGCTTAATTTGAGATATAAATTATTTCATAGATCAATATACAGTACTTTGCATGTATCAATGCTCTGTTTGGGTTACGCTTTACTAAAACTCGCTAATTTAACTTGAGAGAATCTGACCCATCACTGAATGAGACATGTGACCTAAAGCGATGATTTACAAAAGTCTCAGTTCTCCTTAAACACAAGAGCTAAGCTTGGGGAACTTAACCGATATGACACCTATCTGATCAGACATATTTCTTGTTTCTCTGATGTAGGATTCATTTTGAAGCGTTGAATGTGACCTTGTCTCCACAAGTTACTGCATGACTTCTTATCTGCTGCTCCAAAGTGCTCTGCTATCCAATTCTGAAACACTGAGTGATGCTATTTAATTTTGCGACAGTGCAGTGTTGCTAATTGATCTCAGGGGGCTTACATATAGAAGTTACTGGTCTAGCAGGACTTGTGGCTAAGAGCAAGACAGTGTTGCTTTAAAGGTGTCTGGTCACATACT